TATATATATATATAAGTAGCAGTAGTTTGGCAGTTTCCCTTGCAGCTTAAAATGAAATTCTAGTAAAAGACTCTTGAAAGGGCTAACATGGTCCATCCAAATGAGCATGTTTATTATGAATAAGTAACTTCTAATTTCAAAAAGAAAACAAGGAACTGGAATAAATAATGCATTAATGTAAAACAACTCAAGATTTTAAATTCACATCCGGAGTTTTTAAATAACTTTGATGCACAGCATGAACACACCCAATTTTTAAAGAAGAATTACTTGTCTAGTGGTTGATATACAGATGGGGAAAGACAAGATTTGAGTTCTGTTCCCAGCTCTGCCACAGGATGGCTTTGAGATTTGGATGTCACTGGAGTCAGGGACTCAGCTGATGCACCTTATGTGCTTGTGTGCCCATAATTACCCTGTAGTAAACAAAAGCTCAGCTAGAGCAAATTAGCCATGTTTCCATTTAGCACCCTTCCCTATTAATTCACTTTAATTTGATCATTGGTCCATATCCTAGGTACCTCTGTGGCTAGACAATACTACCTACTTTACAAGGTCTTGCAAGTTTTAAAGATTTAGTGTTCAGAAAGCACTGTATGAACCTCAGATAAAAGATATTACAGAGAAAATTTTTTTTATCCTAATTATTAAATGCAGTGGTAACAGGACCCACCACTAAAGGCAAGACAGGCACCTCCTTGAAATCCCATATATCTTCTCCACTCTCACTAATTTCCCTGTACTTGTCTGCCCATGAATGACTGGTGCCTCCTGCAAGTGGGGGGGCACCATAGCAATGAGCGGGGACCTCCCACAGTCCCCGGCCGTAGTGTCAGCGGCGAGCGGAGACTACTTGCAGACACTGCTGGCTATGTCAGCAGCAAGGTGGGGTAAGTGGGAGGGAGTGGCAACCACCCACAGAAGCTGGCAGCAGCTTCAGTGGAGGCCAGTCTCAGGGGGCCATGTGACCCCTTACACATCACCTATGTGTTTGCCATGTGTTTGATATTATCTTTAATTCGGGAGGCTGCCCAGCCCACCTGAGTGATTCCTTCGCCCCTTGGCTGCATTTTTTTGGGCCCTCAGTGCTTCATCTCAGGCTCAGTTCACTGGACTCTCATCCCTCAGACCTGGTTCACTGGGCTCTAAAGTCAGTCCTTTGTTATCCGCACACCCTTAGCAGCCTCTTTCTGCCCCTTCAGCCACTGCCATGCCTTGCAGCCCAAAGTGCAAGAAGCAAAACTCCACCACAATTAGTTTGCAGCTTGGGAGCCTTCCTAAAGACCTGCCTCAAACTTCTGCTCAGTCCCACTGGCTTCTCCCAGCTGTGGCCCTCCTGTGCCTATTCACAGTTCCCTTCATTTCTAGTCTCATTTCTCAGCTTGATGCAAGGAGCTCAGTGAGCCAAAGTTCAGTTTCCTGCTGCTTCCCTCACCTCCCAGTTTTTGCCTCCAGCTCTGCCCAGGTCGGACTGCCCGTCCTCTGCCTTCTACAGCCCCTGGCTCCTCTTTCTTCTGATCTGAGGTCACCTCAGCAGGCCATTACTTAATTAGCTGCCATAGTAATGGCCCTGCTTATTATCCCAGACTCTGCAGCTTCCTAACTCTACTGCCTAGCCCTACTCTCAATAACAAGGCTTGGTCCCTGTTGGGGCAGTGTACTAGGACATTAAAGTTTACACCATTCATATACAGCATGGTCATAGAAAAACTGCATTTGCAGGAATTCTTCTATAATTGTTGTGGGAATCCCACTTTTAAAATCCTTAATGGACATGTATGAATCTCATATTACATTGATTTTGAACTTCCTGTCTGATGTGAATATAAAATTTCATTTAAAGCTTAATACTGTATCAACCTATTTTTGCTTGAGGGCCAATAGAATGCCTACATTTTCAGGACTGAGGTTCCCATGGTCTACGATTAATCCAATAAATACCCTCTTTACAGTTTTTACTTTTTGATCTGACAGCAGGAAATGGACAAAGAAACACCTGAAAAGAAAGGTTTCTAACATCAAATATTTTTATACAAAATGTCCAACTGTAAAATGCCTCCCCTTGTCTGAATATTTTACTAGTTTATTTCCCCTGCCTTAGAACCACCTGCTTTTAAATAACAGAAACACCCAGTACACTAAACCAGTTCGCAGCACCCATTCTCAAGAAACACATATTAACAACCTTACTTTCTAAAGGCTCTCAGCTTCAGATACAATATAACATTTACACAACTCCAAGGCATTAGAAACCTGTTAAATACTCTTAATGCATATTCTTAAGTGCCTCTTACTCTTGAGAGGTCCTTATTTTGTCATATTGATCATATTTATCAGAGGCCAGATCCTAAAAGCACCTAAAATGGAAATGGAAATTGCTGGTACTCTGTATCAGGGCCTAAGAAATACACCTTTGCATGATTTATCGTCAAAGCTTGCAAATAAAGAAAAAAATTCATAGAATCATAGAAGTAGGGTCGGAAGGGACCTTGTAGATCTTCAAGTCCGACCCCCCGCCTGGGCGGGAGAAAAAAACTGGACTCAAATGAGTTCAGCCAGGTAGGCATCAAGCCTCTTCTTAAAGATCCCCAGGGTAGGAGCCAGCACCACTTCCCTTTTTTTATGGGATTTTGTAGGGGCAATGCACTACAAGGACTCTCTAGATATTGATTCATATTTTGGGGGACAGGCAGCTTTTCCTAAAATTTAAATCTGAAAATGTGGGGGCCAAATTGCAACTGTCTAGTTGGTCTAATAAAAGATATCACCTCTACAACACTGACTGCTTGGAACCTGGCCAAGATTTGGGCATACTTTCACAGGGATGACAAAGGGCACATCCCTGCCCCAAAGTGCCCCTTCCACTCCCTCTAAAACACAGAACATTCAAAAAAAACATTGTACAGTTTTTATATGAGCAAAAATGTAGTTTCCTGAGCCCTGTTCTCAGATATGAATGAAGAATCTTGGCTGAAAAAGGAGGCAAGCTAGCACATCTCTGTTTCACTATACAAACATTTTCCTCACTGCCTTGTGAAACACCTTGTTCCCAAGAAAATGTGCCAGGGAGTTGGTCACATGAAACCCAATAATTCTGTGTCAAATTCAAGCCACCACTTTCAGGGATGACTGACAGACCAGGTGGCAGAGAACTGGAAGTTAACTGTGACATCCACTCCAGATTGCCAAGACTGCAGCAGGAATATTTTCACGGGAACTTGGGGATCAGACCAGAACATACCATATTGTTCTGATTATAAGATGACCCTCCATATAAGTTGGCCCCCACATTTTCAGATTTAAATTTTAGGAAAAGCTGCCTGTCCCCCAAAATATGAATCAATATCTAGAGAGTTCTTGTAGTGCATTGCCCCTACAAAATCCCATAAAAAAATCAAATAACGAAGGCAAGGCCCCTAGCCATGAACAACTGGTGCCTCCTGAGACTGCGGGGGGCACCATGGCAGAGAGTGGAGACCACCCGCAACCACTGGCCTCAGTATTGAAGGTGGCAAGCAGCGAACGGGGGCTGCCTGCAGACACTGCTGGTGGTGAGGCGAGGAGGGGTGGATGAGAGTGGTGACCGCCCGCATAAGCTGGTGGTGGCTTCAACGGCGGCCAATCTCAGGGGGAGCATGTACCCCCCTGTGCCCCACTATGCATCGCCTATGCCCCTAATGCTTAAATGCACTAAAATATTAATGTAAAAAAACCTTTTTGTCCCAAAGATAATTTTGCTCAAGACTCATCACATTATCTTCAGCCTAAAATTACATGGCACTTATTAAAAGGTCTACCGTGAATTGCAGTTCTAGATCCAAACTTTATGTGACACGTAGAGTTAAAATGTCAGATCCAAACAGCCCTGTTCCAGGTGTTCAAAATCCACATTTTTCTAATATTTTGTGGGTGTAGTGGAGGAGTAAGTGGATGGCTTCCTGGGAACTTTGTGATGATTTCTTTGTTTTGTTTTGTTGGGAAATGCTAATTTGTTGAATCCAAAATGTTTCACTGTTGGTTTTGACCAACTTCCAGTGAAACACAGGCAGGGTTCCAGCAGCGCTCTGCAGGGTTTCCTGCCAGCTCACCTTGTGGGCACTTTCCTGGCTTTGTGGCTCCAGTGGTGACCTGCCAAACTGAGTGACCCAGAGTTGGAGACCTAAGGCTTCCCTACTCCTCTCAGTGAAGCCAGCAGTCTGTAAATCTCAATTTACCATAGGGCTCTCTGCACTTCTGGCTTCCTGAGGGAGGATTAATGCCTACCTCACAATCTAGTAAAGCAGACCAGAGAGGTCTTTTGGGACTTGGGTCACCCAGTCATTTTGGTTCTTCCACATGTGAGGTAATCCCACTGCCATGCCTGAGCAAACAACCCTGCATGGCACCTTTAAGTACAGCAGAGCCTATGCAGCACCCATTTAGCAGGCAGCAAGTGTGACCCTTAAGTGGGTCGCATAGGATCATTTATTCCACAAAATAATAATGGATTACGTATCAACTCCACAGATAAGTCAGCTGTGATTTTCATCATTCTTTTTTCAGGGAAAAAAGTAAACGTATGACCAGAACATTAGGATCCTTGCTGCCTTCTCTAGCCACTCCCTGATTGGGTAGATTACTCCTGAAACATAGGATGATCCTCTGTGTAGATGCCCACTTTGACTTTGGGTGTACATACACTTCTCCACACATACAGGAAATAGGGTTTGAGTTTGGTCCTGTTTTGCCAGGATACTGGGAAGACAGGATTTTGTTGGTGAGCTCCAGTTACAAGAGAGAAGATGTCTGCTCTTTACTTATGGGTTTGCTACTGCATTTTCTTCTCTCTATAGAATACCACAGCTGAATTTTCTCATAAGTCCTTACTGATTCCATGTAAGCTGAAGGGATTGTATGGCTTTTGGACCACCAGAGACTGCATCATCCAACAGGTAAGTTAGTCTATCAGAACCAGAATTTCATGACTCACGGTGTATAACTACCAAATGAAGATCTCTTACCTGTTGCTTTTTCAGGATTATTGCACATGAAACACTGCCAAGTTCCTGTTTCCTCACTGTAGCCAAATAAATCAAAGAACCTCACTTCTTCCAGATGCATCCGTACATGGTCCAGATCCTAGGCCAGTGATAAAAATTGCATAATGTGAACAGATTTGACAGATGCACAATTTATTACTTGAAAAATGAACACACAAGGGTAAGTGCTTGTGGATTCATAAACTATAAGTGGAGCTGCTAGTTTACAAACACTGCTTGGTATGGATCAAGCTCTCAGTGCTTAAAGATTTAGCAAGTGTCTTCTTTGCTGTGCTCTGTGCTGGCAAACAGCTCATCTGGGCAGATCTGCTGCAAACGGGACTCTTGTGTTTTTTATTCAGTAGCAGCTGAGAGTGGAAACACAGGTGGATCTAGGATTTGAAAATGGGGTGTAGATGGCATGGAGCATCATAGATTCATAGATGCTAGGGTTGGAAGCGACCTCAACAGATCATTGAGTCCAACCCTCTGCCCTGGGCAGGAAAGAGTGCTGGGGTCAGATGACCCCAGGCAGATGCCTATCCACCTTCTCTTAAAGACCCGCAAGGTAGGGGAGAGCACCACCTCTCTTGCAAGCCCATTTCAAATTTTGGCCACCCTTACCATGAAGAAGTTTTTCCTTATATCTAGCCTTAATCTGCTCTCTGTCACTTTGTGACCATTGTTCCTTGTTACCCCAAGAGGATCCCTGGTGAACAGAGCATCTTCAATCCCTTGCTGTGCCCCCTAATGAATTTGTAGGCAGCCACAAGATCACCTCCCAGCCTTCTCTTGCGGAGGCTGAAGAGGAACAAGTCCCTTAGTCTCTCCTTATAGGGCTTGTCCTGTAAGCCCCTAACCATATGAGTGCCCCTCCTTTGGACCCTCTCGAGGCTATCCACATCCTTCTTGAAGTGCAGCACCCAAAAATGGATGTAGTACTCCAACTGCAGTCTGACCAGTGCCACATAGAGGGGAAGTATCACCTCCTTGGATCTATTTGTCATGCATTTGCTGATGCATGATAAAGTGCGGTTACCTTTGCTGATGATTTCATCACACTGACAACTGATGTTCATCTTGGAGTCCACTATGACTCCAACATCCCTTTCTGCTTCTGTGCTGCTGAGAGGGTCACTTCCCAGCCAGTAGGTGTGCTGGATATTTTTGCACCCTAGGTGCAGCACTCTACTTGTCCTTGTTGTACTGCATCCTACTGTGTACTGCCCACTTTTCTAACCTGTCCAGGTCTGCCTGGAATCGTTCCCTACCCTCCAGAGTGTGCCCATCACCCCACAATTTAGTATCATCCACAAACTTGGACAGAGTACACTGCACACGCACATCCAAGTCATTGATGAAGATATTGAAGAGTACAGGTCCAAGGACTGAACCCTGCAGGACCCCACTACTCACATCCTTCCAGACTGATACTGACCCATCTACTACCACTCTCTGGGTGCAACCGCTAAGTCAATTTGCCACCCACCAGACCGTGTAAACATCTATGTCACAGCCTCTTAATTTATTTACGAGAATAGGATAAGATACCATATCGGAGGCCTTGCTAAAGTCCGAGAAAATGACATCCACCTCTATTCCTGTATCTAAGCATTTTGTGACCCTGTCATAAAATGAAACCAGATTGGTCAGGTATGATCTACCTGCTACAAATCCATACTGGTTTCCCTGCTGCATTATTTTTCCTGCTGGACTCCTACAGATATGATGCTTCATAATCTTTTCAAAGACCTTTCCAAGGATGGAGGTGAGACTGACTGGCCTATAATTACTTGGATCCTCGTTCCTCCCCTTCTTGAAAATAGGGACCATGTTGGCCCTTTTCCAGTCCTCTGGGACCTGACCCAAGTGCCATGAGCACTCAGACAGCCATGCCTGTGGTTCTGCTATGACACCAGCCAATTTCTTCAGTACTCTCAGATGCAGCTCATCTGGGCCTGCTGACTTGAACACATCCAGTCCATCCAAGTGACTCTACACCAAGTCAGCATCGACAGTTGGTAGGCTAGTGTCCCTCTGTTGCTCATCTAAGAACCCCTTGGGAGACTTATCTTGAGCCCTGTTCAGGAACCATGAGGCAAAAAACTCATTGAATAGCCCCTCTCTGTCACTAATTGCTCCTCCTTGTTCAGTAGGGGTCCTATGCTGCCCTGCGCCTTCCTACATACCTAAAAAAAACCTTTTTGTTGTCTTTAATTTGTGTTGCCAGCCTCAGATCTGTAGTTGCTTTGGCTTTTCTAACTGCCACCCTGCAAGTGCAGGCCAAGTAGGCATACTCCTCCTTGGTAACTTCCCCCTGCCTCCACCACCTATATGCCTTCTTTTTTGCTCTTAGGCTCCCCTGGATTTCCCTGTTTAGCCAAGGAAGTTTTTTGGCTCCTTTCCCCCTTTTCCCTGGTATTGGGATAGTTTCCCTCTGTGCCCAAAGGATTGCTTCCTTTAGAAATGACCACCCTTCCTGAACTCCCATCTCACCAATACTCTTATCCTGCAGTGCATCACTGACTAGACTCCTAAGCACACTGAAATTAGCTTTCCTAAAGTCAAGCACTTCCACCCTACTAGTTACCTTACTCACCCTATGCTGTATGGTGAATTCGACTGATTGGTGGTCACTGTCCCCAAGGTGACCACAAATCTGCAGCTCCCCTACCGGGTCCTCCCCCGTAGCTAACACCAAGTCCAGTAAGGCATTCCCCCTAGTGGGACTGTATACCTCCTGCATTAGGTGAAGGTCCTGCACACAGGTTAAGAACCTACGTGGATTTGGCTGACTGCTCCTCCCAGCAGATGTCAGGGTAGTTTAGGTCCCCTGTGACAACCACATCCCTAGACTGTATGGCCTCTGAGAGCTGCCTTAAGAATTCCAAGTCAAGCTTTTCCTCTTGGTGTGGTGGTCTGTAGCAGACCCCCACCACCCTTTCCCCATGACCTCCATGTATCCTAACCCACAATGCCTCAACTTTCTCCTCTTCTGATCCCATTTTGATTAGGATAGATGTATAATGCTCCTTTACATAGAGAGCAACCCTGCCACCTTTCATCATTTTCTCCCATTAAAGAGAAACTAGAAACTTTAGTAATATGCTAAAGACCTAGTGCTATATTAGTCAGTTTACAATCAACACAAATATAAATATAACTTTATTGGAATGTTCACTAACTTGTTAGATTATATATTAAGTTAAAAAACACAAGAAACTAGGAAAAATGATCAAAATTGTCAAAAGTTATTGTTTCATTACTTTTGTAGTCTTTATAGTTAAATTTACATCCTTTATTCAAATCTGTAAAACAAGATCTAGTTTTCTTGAGTGTTTTGACAGTGCCTTCAATACTTCATTATCAGGAATTTCTATACCTGAGTTAATATAACCACACCTAAATTCAGGATTTTAGCTAGAGCTAAAAATGGTCTACAGGGGTGTGAAATAGAAGAGAGATGTTACCAGGAATGGCTAACAGACAGAAAAAGTGCAGAAGAAAGGATAGTTGGAATAGTGAAACATCAAGACCATTAAAAAGGAGAGAGGGTCATTAGCATCTGTGGAATGAAGAGACTTCTAGCAGAAATCAGGTAGATTATAATGAGCCATGAAGTCAATTGACTCCTTCAGTGCTGCCTCAATAGAAATGCCACTGCCCCTACTAGGCAGTTGATTTTAAAGTTTGGTAGAGCAGGGATCAAACAGAGGGTGCAACTGCCCCACTGCAGTTCCCCTAGATCCTCCCCCTGAGAGCAAATCTTCTGAAGGTAGAAGGACTTTTTTGTACTCTTTGCCAGCTGTGCTTTTACTACTAGTGCCTGGCATAGCCTTACGCCACATGAACTTCTTTACTATTTTCAGGTCCCCTCTGGTTACGATTTTCAGTGGCCTACAGTTCAGCAGTCTCTACTCACAGTAGAAGCTCCTGAGAACTTCCTCCCTTTAAATGAATGACAGGCCAAGACAAAGTGTTAATAACTGACCGGTGGTCAAGGCCTACTTCTTAAAAGAAAAGATTAGAGGTTCTTGCTTGTGAAGACTCAAACCTCTGGGAAGTCATGCTAATATTATATTTATTTCCAAAACTGCAGCAATGATGGGGTAAATTAATGTCAGACAAACAGCATCTCTGTGAATGTAGAATTCTTATTCTTCTAGTGAGAACTGTCAGCAAAGCAAGAATTATGCGTTTTAAAAGCAAACATAATGCCTGTTTTGGTTCAAGAGATGTACCAAAATTATACCTGCGATGGCAATGCTTCAAGTTTGGGAAAAGCTAGGAGACCCTCTCTGCTATGGTATTACTGACATGGCTATTAAGTCAGAGTAATTTAAAACCAGTTTTAATAGCCATAAATATGCCTGTGATCTTGCCAGAATTAAACAAATACTGATCTTAAATGACACCAACCCAATTAGCTATCATAAAAGCAAAGGAAAATGCTAAGACAGCTCTGAAAATGCTTCTATTTTATTTGCTTGGGGCCTTAATGTACCTTGCAGATGCGTGCAGCAGCCAACACTAGACAAATTTATAAGTAGTTTATAAATGGGGAGGAAAAAAAAAAGTTCTTCTGACAGCAGCAATCATTTAATTCACTGGACAAGGCACACAGACCTGTCAGGCACTGGTTCAGACCAGTGTCCCAAAACTTTTACAAAACAAAAGAGAAATGTGTTCACTTGCCCATAATTTTCCAGTGAGATCCAGCAGCCCTGTCTGTCATCCCAGGTCTCTAGGAAAACCTAGAATAAATAATTCTGGCCCACAGCATTTTCCTAACAAACATTAAAGGGGCTATTATATAAGTGGGGAATCACTGGAACAAAGCAGCATTCTAGCTAGTGGGACCAGAGAAACCAGCCAAATGAGATCTATGCCATCCAGAGCCGCTCTAGGCTGGAGGAGGCCCCAGCTGGCAGGATTCCTTGGATTTAAAGCTTCTTTGTACTGGCAGACTGGGGGAGCCTGCACAGATGTACCCCCCTCTTCCCCTCACACACAACAAGCTAATTTATTAGTTAAACAAGTTGGTTTTATCAGCATAATTAGGACAAGGAGAGATTCTTCCCTTTCTAACAGGAACATGTA